GGAAGAGCGCCGTCGGGCAGGCAGGCAGGTGTCTTGCTCGGCTGTGTCTTGGGGGGGCACTTTTTCCAGTGCCATTGTAACTTCGAACAGTCACTAAGCGAACTGTTGTAAGTCGAGGACTACCTGTACTTTATCACTTTTTTCCTTTTTTGGGGGGGGGCAAGTTTTTGACACCTTGCTAGCAACTGGTGGTACTCGGATATTGCCATATCCTAAAAATGGTACAATGGGTGAAAAGGTTGAAAAGCCCTGGACTAGAAGACCTCCAAGGTCCCTTCCAGCTCTGTTCTGATTAATTCAAAGTAAGTTATTTTTCTCATCTAAATCATATAACAACTATAATCAAATATGTGTGCATGCAGGTATTCATATATTAATGTGTACATTGTAGTCAATATTTCATTCTTATTGACTTTTCAACTAGATAGTTCCCCAAAAAAACAAAACAGTAAAATGATGCTAGAACAGAACAAAATTACACAAATATACATTCATTCGGTTAAGGACTAGGATAGCTTAGTCTTAACATGCTATCTGGGAGATTCTGGGAATTGAAATCCAAATATCTTAAAATTTGCAACGTTGGGAAACATTGCTTTAGATGGTTTAACATCTTAGTTTTTTATTCTCCTTGTGGATCTTCATCACTCCATGGTAATATTAAATATATTATATTTATTTTTGTCTTCATTCCACTTGAACTTTTGGGAATATTGACTTTGGCATGGTATTAAAGGACAAGTGAGGCTTTCAGTCAAGTAAAAATCATGTGATCTTTTTTCATAGCTTGCTTGCATTCTGCAGAGTAGACATTTGCTATATTTTTCTTTCTCTTACTCCTAATTTATTGCTTGGATGGCTAGAGAATCCTTTCACCTTTCATTTTCATGTAATTGAGAAAATAATGTGAAGAAAAATTCTGCAGAAATTCTGCTTTTTCCTCTGCAGTTTGAATGTCTCCATATTTTTGCTATTTCTCTTGATGAGCTCTATTTAGAGACTCTTCAGTGCAGCTTTGCTTTCAACTTTTTTTTAAAGTCCTCCTTTTTAATTAGCAGCTCACAAATATAGCTGTTGTTAGAAAAGGGAGAGAAGATCATATGGGAACTGACAGAACGAGGTGAAAACAGCTTCCGCATCTTAGACACTGAGCTTAATTTTGTGCATCTGGTAAGAAAAAATTGTTGCCATCCAGAAGGTGTATAATAATTAATTGCTATAATTTGTCAGGAATTTAAGGTATGTTATATATGGGAGGCTATTTGTTGTCATATGTCATTTCCTTCTTGGCACCACAAAAATAAAACAGCTTTTTAAAGCATAAGGGATTTTGAAATGGCCATTCTGCAGTAAACTATTTTAATTGCTTTAAAATGGTGTGGCTTTGTCTTCTTCCCTTTTCCTGTATTCTATGTATTTTCCTTTGGAAAATGTGTCACACTTGTAGCTTTTGCAGGATAAATGTGTGTGTGTGTGGGAGATTGTTTTAGAAACCCTTTCCATGAGGAATTTTGTGTCCTTAACTTTTGTACCAAATCTAACTTCCTTTATTAGCTAATTTATCTATCATATTTTATCCCCTGCTGGGAAATCCGTGCAGCATTTGAATGAATTTTGTTTCATGCTCTTTGGGACAGCCTTCCATTTATTACTCAGAGGCAGCTCTGTACTTGAAAAGGGGATTGTTTACTGGATGCCTTCACTCTACATTCTGCCAGTTTTAATGGCTACATTGTCCAAAATGGGAATTCCTGAACTCATAAGGAGGCATGGAATCAGGGCAAGAAGGTCACATATTCTGAATAATAAAGTCACTTCCCAGCCCCTTTCCCAATTCAGAGATAAATTTAGATTTACATATTGGGGGGGAATCAGGAAGTGGATGAAACAATGCAAAGAGCTTCTCTTTTAACTTCTGGTCATTTAGAATCCTCTCATATCAATTCATCTTGACCGTTATGGTATAGCATGGGTCTTAATGAATAGAAAGTGGAATGAAACAACATCTTGGGGAAAAAAAAGAGATCGCTATAAGTGAAGATAATACTGGGGAAATTTAATTCAGGGACTGCAATTATGGGGTAAAACAGTTGCTAAACTTTGATGTATTGGTGAGAGAGGGGGGAGGAGAAGTAAAGATATAAACTGAATGGGAAATCACCATTCTGTCTTCCTTTGTCTGGAAGTTTACATCCTTTGCCCATTAAATCTAGTTCTTTAAGGTCTAAATCAAATATAATAATGGTATTTTATAATGTGTGAACAAGAGACAATTTCAATAATCTTGGTTATAAACACACTCAAGAGCATTGCAGAACAGCATACACTTGCTGTAAAATTTGGCTGCACATCCTCTTAATCAAGAGCCTTCATTTATCTGAAACAGCAAAGCCAAAGCTAAGGAAAGCATTCAAGAAAGTTAATTTGAAAAGCAACATTGCACTGAATATTATTTTTTTGTCCAGATTGCATCTGTTTTCCCTTGTTCTACTTCTTTCTGTAGGAGAACAAATATCTATGATTTTCCAGTCCATTTGCATGGACTGTTAGATACTTATAAAGTTATAAGAAAGAAACCAGGCTGTCAAGAAGGAAACCAGACCATCAAAGAACACAAGTGGCTGGACACTATCAAAGCTGACACCAGCCAGAGCATAGAAAAACTCAAAGAAATAGTGCAAGATGAGAAGATGTGGCAAGATCTCACCCATCAAACTATCAAGAGTCGGACTCAAGTAAAAGGATAACATCATCACCATCAAAGTTACAAGATGAAGATGCAGTCCCGTGCTGGCTAGGGATTTCTGGAAATTGAAGTCCATGCGCCTTCAAGCTGCCAATATTGAGAAACACTGTATTATACTAGAATAAGAAAAAGATAATATGCTACTTTATACTGCAAATATACTTCCCTCCCTTCCCTTGTCAGAAGATGAAAAAAAAACGCATGTGAAATTGAATGACTCTAAGAACCATAAAACCAAAATAGATCCATCAGCCCTTCGAGGTAGCCAAGTAGGGAAACAGCTTTGAATAGAAATGGAATTCTATTTTATTGATATAGGTTACAGTAATAAAATCTTGAAAGCTTGTCATATTTTCCTCCATCCCATTTACATCAAAAAGAATTCTGGTGAATTCACTATATATTTCTAATGTTCTCTTCTATTCCCAGACCTAGGTCAGGTTTTGCTAACTGCTGCATTCTTTCTCCAAACTTATCTCTCTGGTTCTCTATAACATATCTTAACCAAGTTATATTGCATTAATATTTCTTTCAACTTTAGTAGTTGATTATTAGTAAACTCAACCAACTACTTTGAGTCTTTCAAGACTTTTAACTTATTAGTAGACACAGAAATCTGCAATGCTCCACATTTTTTCAGATGCCAGCAGTGAGTCTTAAATCTGTATTATTATGTCTTGATTTGAGATCAAAACACACCATATTTGTAACACATAACAGTTGGATGAGTGCATGCCTAAAAGATGTGGAACATTTAGATGTTTAAAAACATATTACAGGATCACAGTCTTGCATTCATAGACTGGCTGTAGTCCCATTTTCTCCCTCTGGGGAGGTGAACCGCTCTTTCTCTATCACTCCCATAAGGATTTGTCTGCTTTCACTAAAGCAGTAGGTGAAAATTACAGCATTTATTACATATCATCCAAGTATTTAGAAGAAGAAAGGAAGGTAAGCCTGAACGTTTTTCCTAGAACTAAACATATGCTATTCAACATTATTTTATTTTTCTGCCCTCTTTATTATCTTGTAAAAAGTTTTAAAACTTCAGCCAGTAGATGTCTCTGTTTTCCTGGTCTCAGATTATCTATACCTGGTTTCTTAATTAATTAATTCATTAATATAATCTGTAAGCATATAGAAAGAAGTAATCCCAGTTACTGTTTTCTGGAACATCAGTGTATGAAAAATGTACTTAGGACTCTGCGTCCAACCTTTATATCCCTTAATACTCAAGCCTAAAACTGGGCGGATAATAGGATTCTTCATCCTTGCTGCCAATTCTCTCCACGTCTTTCCTGGTACACATCTCAAGCAATTCCAAGCCAAACGGCTGGTATTCTTTCTAAGGCAGCCTCTGCAAGGTGACATGAAGCCCCTATTTCTCCCTTCCTCCTCCCAGAGATTCAGCACTGGACAGCTCCCTTCTGCTCACCTAGTGGCTGTCTCGTGATTGACAGCTGAAGCGGCCATAGAGCGCTCAAGGCATTCGGAGCTCACCTATGAGGGCGAGTTGCGGAAGGGAGGGGAGGTAAGAAGGGGTTGGCCATGTGGGTTAGAGCTGTCTAGTTAACAGGCAAGGAAGGAGGGGGAGTTAAGGCTGAGCTGGGAAAGCCCGGCGCTCCGGCCAGCGGGCATCTGCCCCCGAAAAACATCCCCTCCCAGAAGTCCCTCACGGCCCTGCCACTCTCGCTCCATCCCTCTCCTTCTCGGCTGTCCGGTGCACGAACCGCAGCTCTCTCCTGTCCCCTCAGGGAACGATGCCCGGAGACTGCGAGAGCGAGTCTGGATCCTTTGCGCGGCTGAGTAGCGAAGCGGGAGGACGCGCCGCTTGATCGAGAATGGAGCAGCGGCGGCAGCGAGAGGAGGACCGCGAAGCAGGTCTTTAAAATACCTTCTACAAGCGTTGTCAGCGGCAGATGGGGGATATAAAGACCTAAGCGGGCCAACGGTAGCTTCTCCCTGTAGCAAGGCGCGATGTAACCTGGTCTCTGAGCCAGGCGCCGCCTGCGTAATTGCCAGAACTTGCCCCACCAGAGAAAGCTCGCTGGACCATTGCTACAGGTGATTCGGATTCTCCCCCTCCCTCTCTTCCCCCCCAATCCCCAAGTTCACTTGGAGCATCCTGCTCCACGAATTTTGCTTTCTTGTCTTTTTGCCAATGCTGTTGAAGTACTCACGTTTTTAAAACAAATTGGAAGTGGGTTGGGTCCAGAACTTGAGAGAAGACGTTTTTCTTAGCTGAGTGGAAAAGATGGATTTGCTGTGGCTTCTTCCCATCTTACTCCTTGCTCACTTTGGGTATGTGATTGATGCCAATCAAGGACCAATGGAGCCTGGTAAAGGGAAAGCAATGAAGGAGAAGCCGTCTGTTTATAATCATGGCAAGAAGGTGGATGTTCCTTTCTCTCCTTGGAGCAGATCAAGGGAAGAGAACCTAATATTGGCCCAGAGAATGTCCCAGGAGATTCCTCAAACCGTGGCTTCATTCCTGTATACTGGTGATTCTTGGGAACTGAAGCAGGCCAACTGCTCTGGGCGCTATGAGCTGACGAGTTTGGCTGGAAAGTCTCGCTTGGCCTCACACCCATCACTGCATGGAGCTCTAGATACTCTTCTCCATGCAATCAACTTTCTCAACATGATTCTGCAGAGCAATAAATCCCATGAACAGAACTTGCAGGAAGACATTGAGTGGTACCAAATTTTGATCCGAAGCCTGCTGGAAGGAGATCCCAATATCTCCAGGGCTGCCATCACCTTCAACCTAGAGCCCTTGTCCTCTGTCCCTCAAATCTTTCTCCAAGCCAGTCGTCAGAATAACCAGATCCTGCTGCAGGACTTATCTTCAGTGGCTCATCAGTTGGCCAATGTGTCTAGTGAAACTGAGTGGTTCCATAGTCTGAAGCGCAGGTGGAGGCCCCATCAACATCGAAAGGTCTCAAATTCTGGTTCTAAGGCCCAGGAAGGCAGCTTGAAAAAAAGAAATGGACATCACCCTGCAGAGAAGACTCATATCAAGTGGTCCTCCCCGTACCTGGAGTGTGAAGATGGAAATTACAAACCTATCTGGCTAGTTACATTGTCTGCTGCTTTTTATGGGTTGCAGCCAAATCTCCTTCCTGAATTCAGGTAGGAGTTCTGAATTTTATTAGACTATTGATCTTCAAAAGCACATCCGAATTAGCAGTAACTTCACTGAGGATTAATTCAGTGAACTTCTGTTCACTGAAAGAATAGCAAATATGAACAAAACTCAGTCTTAGCCTGTAGATGATAATACTTTAGCAATCTATAGTGCAATCCTACACATATGTGCCAAGGTATAAGTTCCTTGGAACTAGCAGAATTTATTCTTAGAATATAGATATATCTTTAATATACATGTTGGACTTCACATCTCATTTTTAAAAGTGTAGAAGAAGCTTTCTTTTTTTAAAAAAAGTGCCAGTTTGAAGTTAGCAACACACTCCTCAAGAGATGAAAGTCCTTTGGTGTTTTTTCCATGGACTCTGATGTGGGATTACTACGTTAGAGAAAATCCCCATATAACCAAACATGGAAAGCTTAAGAAAAATGGAAGCAGAAGTACATGCTTCCTCATGATAGGTTCAAGTCCCAGTCCCAGTGTGCAATCAGTGAATTCTCTTGCTGTAAGTAGAAGTAAAATGCCAGTGTTGTGCTCTAGCTAAGTTTATTGGGGCTAAATTCCATAGACTGTAAAAGAGCTGAAGTTAATCCAGGCTGGCCTGAGTCACTAGTTACAATGAGATGATACTCAGTACAGTTCGCTAAAGTAAGTTTCACATTGTTTACAGGGTTTGTTCTATAATGGGGGTGGGGAATTTGTAGTCTCCCAATGTCATTCCACAGCATTTTTCAAGAAGCCCAAACAGTATATCATGATGTGGGATGTTGGGAACTGTAGTTCACCTTTTCTTGGAGATCTCAAAGATCTCCAATATTGTAACCACAGTAATGGTTAATTTATTCTGGATTAGAGCTTCAACAGTAAGTGCTTTTGCCCAGTCTTGCCCAGTTTAAACTAACTCTAACCTCCTCTCCTCCCCCAATTTCTATTTTTGCTATTTACATTTTCAAATATCTGTTCAGGAGGCCCTTAATATCCATTATATTAACAGCAGCAAAAAAATGCTAATGTAGCCAGAAAATCATTTTTTTAAAATGCATTAGTAGAGGTATACACTAGCTATATTTATGCAAAATGATTAACCTGGTTACTGAATTCATTTTCTGGGCTTGCATAACAGAGAGACCATAAATTAACCACATGACCTGGTTGGATATATTGTGTGAAAACACCTATGATACTGAGCTGCAAACAACAGGCTTTGTCAGGTCTGGCCATTCCCCAGCTTTCAATTGGTCAGGCATTTCAACTAGGAAAGGAAATCTTGCTTCCTGTTTATAGAAAGCTGTTTAGGAACACAAGCATATCCTTACATCCCAGATTCAATTGTGAGCTACCTCTAAATGTTCTAATCTTTCAGCTCCTCCAAGCCCTTCTGCTGGTTTCTGCCCTTTTTCCTTCATTGTTGTAGATGCTCACAGATTTTGCCTGGACTGTGCATGTATGTGTATATGTATATGTGGTGTACACACACACACACACACACACACACACACATTAATTGTTTGTAGTGGCTTTCCTCCAGAAGTATGTTGCTTTGATCAGAGTGAAGCATTATATTTGCCTATGTAGTGTACAATCAATAATATTTATACAAACTTATGATGATGTCCTGCATATTTGCTCAGGCCTATTGAAATAGAAGCCTCTTTAAATAAAAGTTTTAAATATGTTTTTTAAGATTCCAAAGGGATTGAGAGGTGCTATTCACCCTCTGGAGTACTTTTGCTCCAGTATCATAATAAAGTCATCCAAATAACTTTCAAATATTTCATGAGAGTTATATTAAAATAGGTTATAGCCTATTTTTACGAAAGGCTGAGAATTATGCAATTGTGGAATTACAAAGGAACATATAGGCCCTTATGTTTTACCTTCTGTACCATGCAAGAATCCAGATTAAAGCACCCTTGTAACTTCCTTCCTTCCTTCCTTCCTTCCTTCCTTCCTTCCTTCCTTCCTTCCTTCCTTCCTTCCTTCCTTCCTTCCTTCCTTCCTTCCTTCCTTCCTTCTTTCTTTCTTTCTTTCCTTCCTTCTTCCCTCCCTCCCTCCCTCCCTTCCTTCTCAGTTGCACTGGAGCTTTCTTTGGCTTCTTGCTATTTTTGTCAGTAAGTCGTAACCTGGGAGGCATCACCATCAGAGATCCTTCAGTTTGGATTAGAAAATATGTACAACCAATTGCAAAGCTAATTTTTGCAGAATTTTTCTGAATGTCAAATACATTTTACCATTATGAAAGGAGTAGGTAGATTACTATTCAATCATTATTTCTATAGATGCCTCACTTCTGATATCTCTTTGCATGAGTATATCCTGATTAAAGTGTAATCACATGCTGTGGAATTCCATGGATATTTCCGTTTTGGATATAACTACTACTATTAATAATTTCATTCTTAAACTAACAATATTGACTGTGGTGGTTTGAATAGTAATCCAACCTTATAAACTTTGTTAACGCAATATGTGCAGACCAACTGCCCAGTAGAGGTCATCGTGGTAACAACTGCAAAATATTTTCTAGTTACAAAGTTTAATCTTGGCCACAACCCAGTTAATCAACACATAATTTCTTCTCTTAACTCAAAGATGTTATCTGAAAAAAAAACAGCTGAGAAATTTTAACACTGTTCTTGTTTTCTTGGAAGGATATTCTTCAGGAATGCTAGCATATGCATGAGCTATGTTTGGAGAGTTTTTCTAATTTGAGAAAATTTTTCATAATTTTGCAGCAATGTTGCAAACATTTTTCTTTTCACAACCACTCACATTAACAGTTTGCAATTGTAGGAAAGATCTATCAGTAATTTTATAATGCAACTGAAATTATGATGAGAAACAGAATTAAAGATTGATGATGCAAAAACATTTTAAAAGTCTCCTGTAGGGCATAACCAGTATCGGTAGCTTCTTCACATAATCCCAGAAGCATTTCTTTGGCATCCCCCAAGTGTCTTAACTGCTGTTGTTTTTTCAACATTCAGGATTTTTCATGAACTAAACAGCATCTCACCAGCTGCCTAAGTACAAAAACTGCTATCCATCCATCCATCCATCCATCCATCCATTCTTGTCTTTGCTTCACTGTGTTTGTTTTCATGGTGAAATGGCTGGTGGAGGAGGGGAAGAACCATCTGGTCATCTCTCATTTGATTGAATTATAGAGTTGCTTTTGATAACCTGCAGAGCCATGGAATAGAAGGTTGTGGCATCATCCCAAATAAGTGCCAGCCAAATGTATAGAAGAGGCCATAGACATCAGGAAGAAAAAACATGCTTTATATATTGATTTCCCAATTCACGACAAACTAATCTATCTGTTTTAATAGATTAAATATCAATGCAAGCTTGGGATGGGATGGAGCTTTCTTGACTTTTATAACTGCACAGGTCTCAACCTTCAAGAGCTATTCTAAGGAGACCAGAAAGGCCAGGGGACCTTTCTCTTATTTGATCATTATTAATTGAATTAATTGAATTGATTGACTACATTGTCCATTTTAAAGATCTAATGTACTAGTATTATCAATGGGTCTAATTGTATTCAGTACACTAATTCATCTGGAATTTTTATGAATGATAGATTACTTGGATGCTTCATTTTTGGATTTTTGGAAACTGCTGAAAATCCTTGGAATATCTGATGGTACACAAATGCAATCAATGGAAAAAAAAAAGGAATTTTGAGACCAGGTCATGGGCACTCTCCTAAAATGTTGGCAGGCATGACTGGTCCATTCATAGTCTGGTTGACCTGTGGAATTTAGACACTGCAGCAGCTTAGTTCTGTAGAATATTACTTGCTATATCATTGCTTTTTGCAATTCTTATCTTAGACTTCTCCCTTCCCTCCATGGGACTTTTTTGATTTCAGAAGAATTCCTGGAACTAAAAATAACATTGGAGATGGCGGTGCTTTGTTTTCTAACATAAAGTCTTCCCATTTAAAAACTATTGCTTTAAAATGCAATGTATCAAGTAAGGCAGAGAATCGGATAAGTATGAAAGGGAAGGACTCATTAGCACCTCAAGATTCACATTGTAGTTTTCTACAAATAAACAAGTCATCGGAGAATTGTAGCTTGTTTTATGTTTTTGTTTATTTCGGAATAACCTCTGCAGAAATGGTTAGAGTTAGGTTCCTGCAGGGCCAAATTGCTGACTTTATTTATTTATTTATTTGTCATGTTTACATAGCTGCCCATCTCACAAACAAGTGATTCTGGATGGCATAGAGCAAAGCTAAATTCTTATTCAAATAAGAATTAATATTATTACTTTATTATTATTATTAAAAACTTTTAAATTTATCAAAGGCACAAAACTAAAAATTAAAAAAAAAACGTTAGGCAAAGAGTAGGTATTGGTTATACTGGAGCCATCTTAATATTTCATCAGTTCCCTGAAGTCCAGAGGCCTAACAACATATCCAGGTCTTGAGGGAATTCCAGAAAGATAAAAGGAATGAAGCCACCTTCACTTCAAGGGGAAGAGTGTTCCATAAAGGGGAAGCCAAAGCAGAAAAAGCTTTCTGCCTAGGACCTGCCAAATGAAGCTCCTAGCTGATGGGATCCTCAGCTTGTCCTCTCTGCTGAATCTCTTCTGAGTTATCTCTGCTGGGTTATATTAGTCTACAGAGATTACATTTGTCTTGAAAAGTGATAACCTTACTTTTTATCCACGATTCTCAGAAGGAGTTATTTGTTCCCTTCAGAGTCACTGGCCAATGGGCTGAGATTTTATTCAGGGAGGAGAAGCAAACATTGTCTGCTCTTGTTTCTCTTTCTTTCTTGCTAGTGAAGATGATTCACATGAAGCCCTAAATTAGCCCTTTATATAGTTATGAACTGCAAAGCAGAGATAGCCATGCTTCAGATAAGTCCTGGAAATCTTTTTAATCTGGTTTTAAGATGGTATAATAGCATGTGGGAAAGACCTTAGGGGCCTGGAAGAAGAGATGCTATCTAGAGAACAGCCAGAT